ATATAGCATGGTAGTGGATTTGACTGGAAGCAGAGGCACTGATGAGTAATGTGCCTGTGTCCATACATGGAGAAGAGATTGTGGCAGGCTTTCCCCTCTAAATTTTCAGTCCTGTGTTTTATTTAATGATATTAGTCTCTTGTGTGGTTGAATGGCTTGAGCTGAAGGGCAAAGACCTCATTGGAGCAAGGATTAGGTGGTGATAGTGGTGGTAATGATCTCAGCAGCAGAAAGAGATGACAGGTAAGACCTATCTGGAATGGGTAACACCACAAAATATTTAAACAGTTGAAGGTTGAAGAGATTGAACCATACCACCTTTTTAGTCAGCTACAATAATATGTTCTATAAGGATGTGCTGGAGGTTGACAAGTTGCCTATTTTAGTGGCAGTGGCTGTGGGTATAATATATTACAGGGTGATTCATTCACAGAAAAGAGAGAGACTTCCCATTATGTCTTGAAGATGTCTTCCATGTTGCGGTAGGTTAGTAACAGAAGCTAAAGTATTGAATCATGTTTTAAGAAAAAGGAAACACTTTTGATAACATCTATCTGCATGAAGTAACACCTGACTTCTACAGGAAGTTTTATTTTAAGATTATTAATAGCAAAAAACTGCTATAAGAGGATGGGGCCTGTCACTATCCATGTGCTTCAGAAGAACAGCAGGGTCCCTTCAGGTCAGACTACAAATATACAGAAGGCAGAATGTTGGTCAAATGATACATGCAGCTTTCCACACTCAAATACTGTGAAATAAGACAAGGCCATTATTTTCCCACCTTTTGTTTTAATAAGCTTCTTATCTTCGTATTCATATTTTCCTTCTTTTCTGTTTTAGTTCTTTTAAAATTTTAATATTTTAAAAGAACTTTGAAAAGTAGTCATCCTGAATTGTTTCAGATCTCTTAGTTTTGTGATGTGATTGGATTGAAGGAAAGAGAAAGTGGATATGTTAGTTTTCACAGTTAGGATTTATGACCTTCCTACATAGTCAGATGATTTACAAAATAAAACTGTTTGGTTGTTATGTCCTGCTTTTATACTGAGGGGCAGAGCATACAATGTTGTCTATTTAAAATTCAAAAAGAAGCAGTAGTAATTACTTGCTGTATGATTCAAAGAGGTTTAGTATATTTTCTGGCACTTTGAGGTTTTACAGACTGTCTGTGAAATGCTAGTCCTAGACACTACCTTTTCTCTACTTTTAGTGTGTGTGACCACTCTTGCAGGAGTTAAAGCATTGTTATGGTGTAAGAAATTCAAAGATTATTTAGGATTTTAAAGCAATTGCCTTTTTTCTTCTCTGTGACAGGTGGGGAAGTATGGGTGGGTGTTTATACTTTGGTGCTAAAGTTTTAGTTAAAGTTCTTTTGCTAATTAGTAAACTTGTTAGCAAGCTTGTTTTTCTTGCTATAAATTGCTATTAGGAACATTAACTTTTACAGTGTAGTTGTGGGGATTAATTTTTTTAAAAATATGTATGAAACTATCTTATTACTACTTGTTTCTCAATAAAAATATTAATTTTTTTAAAAATATGACAGCTAGAAATATTGATCTTTAATTGATGTAAAGAAGATTGCAGGTATGTAGCTTTTTTTTCCTTTTGAGTTGATGTCCTTTTTGGTATATACTGTGAAGTAAACCTCGAGTTATTTTCTTGGACAAATTGAAACGTATGGTAAAGCAGAGTTACTGGACCTGTACCATAACAAATGCATTTAATGCCCATTAATCAAGGCTGTTAAAATATGGCAACTCAGGGTTTGGATTTATATGAAACAAGATTTAGGATTTTTATTTTTTGTTTTTTTGAGACTCTAGCTATGCTAATTCTTTTATTCTTGAGATCATCCTGGATTGCTTACACTCTGTGTAAACAAAATGTATGATAAGAGAAACTGTTCAACAAAAGTGGTTTTATTTTTTTAAAAGTAGAACCATAAAATGTTAATAATGTAAATTTCACTTTAACCACCCTTAACA